ATGCTAGGCATTAAAATTAATTTATAAATTTAATAAAATATCGAAACATTATCTTTGTTCATAAGAAATATTTGCCTCGTTTCAATAAATAGGTCCCTCAATAACCTTAATAAGCAGATTTACTAAGGAAATATAGTATTAATGGTGTAGAGATGGTTGACTATAATATAATATGAGAAGGAGTTGGTCGGGGGGAAGGGGGGGATGCGGTCAAATAAACACTAAATTAAAAAAAAAATAGTATTTTTAATTATTATGCCGAAGTTTCGACCCAACTTGCAGGTCTTCATCAGGGCGTGGTATGTGACATTGCAGGATACATTAGATAAGCAAGTCTATCAAGGTGGGTCGAAACGTCGGCATAATATTTAAAAATTCTATTTTTTTTTTTAATTTAGTATTTATTTGACCGTACCCCTCTGACTAACTCCTTCACGAAATATATTGTTATTCCATTTTTTTTTTTTTTTATCACTAGAGTATTTTAAAGATTTAGTCCACCAACCAGCACCTGGATTTAGAATAGCTGTCCTGCTTTTGGGTAACTGAACAGTTTCATCCAGTCATTTATCATATGTTTATCTAAACCTCCCACCCTTTCTTTGAGCAGCTGGCCAGTTTAATTTAAATTGCGCTCTAAATAGTGAAAATCTTTTTTGGTCATGTTCTAACATGCTTCATCATCAGTGAAGCTGTCTTGTATCAGCAACATTTTTTATTTTGGTTTCTCATTTATATTTAGGCCTTCGGGATGTTGTAATTTGTTGTGGCGTTGTCTCCGTTAGTGTACCTTAATTTTAGACCACCTGAGACAATTGAAAATTTAAAAAAAAAATTAAAAATTTCATCATTGTAAAAAATTAATTAAAATTACGTGGTATAAAAATAAGTATCTTGGATAAAACAACAAATAAACACCTCTGGGGCAAACATGTACTAATGATTCTTTTTGTGTTTTAATTAGAAACCTTTGATATGAATGTGTTCATAGCATGACAGATTATTATATTTCTAAGTAAATGAATTTAAAAAAAAAAAATTAGAAAGTTACTCTTATATTACCAAGATGCTCTAAAAATTATAGGTTTAAAGCTTTTGGATATATAACTTAATCATTAAGAGATGTAGAAATTTTTAAACATTTAACAAAATTATAACCTCCTTTAAAGGCTAGTACCTACCTATAGATGAATTAATCTTAATAGCGTTGGAAATGTAAACTCATTAAGCACATGCCTTGTTCAAAGGATTCTATAATTTAAAATATCAGGAAAAAGTTAAACAATTGCACACAATCCTAACGAACATTACAAAATTCTTTGCATTGATTTATTGATTTACATAAGAGATGGAGGTTGATTATTTTTCTCATGAAAATATTCCGAGGACTGTAGTAGACAGATAAACCATAGCTTTTTGTAAGCTGGATTTTAAAGGATTTAATTACTTAATTACGGATATGCAGTTGCCGACGGCCAACTTTTCGGAAAATATCTATTGATTCACATATGACGAGGGTTAATAAATAACTAAAATAATCAGGGCTAATAAAACATTATATACTATGATGATTCTCTGCGAACCTAACCAAATTTTTCAGTGTCATATTAGTTACCATTTTTAGTAATACAATTAGAATCTATACAAGTTTTAACGAACAAACATCAAATGAAAATATATGGACCACTATATTTCAGTCTATAAATCGTCGTTTTATCGAGAAAAAAAAGTCATGGAATGATTTTTCATAACCATAACTGACTAAGAACTTAAAATTTTTTTGAGTGAAATAAGAAAATTGCGCCATTGTTGAATCGATATTTGATATATAAAGATTTGTGTCATTTTAGTGCACTTTCTGTCTTGTTTTTATTGATAAAGAAGCTCTAACTTCGCACAAAAGGTCTTAAAAGTTCAGCCCCATCAAAAATGTACTTAGTGAATTTTTGCAATAAACCGACGAAATGCTTAGGAAATAAACATGTATTTCGGGCAGGATTCCAATTTACTATCAACTATATGATTGCATTGTTTAATGATTGAAAATTGTTTAAAAGAACGTTTTTAAGTTGTTCATGTGTTTTAAAAACTCTACGTACTCTAATTAAGACAGGAACAGCAAGGAGAGTTTCTTATTAATGTCTACTGCCAGTATAAAAAATAATGAAACATAATTTAATCTAACAAGACAAAAGATGTTAACAGAAACGTGTCAAGCTGTCAAGACAATTAAGCTTTAATTCAGTTATTTCCTATCTGTTCTACTTTATTATTTTTCACATTTTTTTTTGTAGTAAATTATAAGGGGAGTTTTTTTCATTATTTTTTTTATATTTTGAATTACTGTAGAAAGGGCCGAAAATAAATATCAGGGAGACAGAAAGGGAGTTCGTATGTTTGTTAATTAAGAATGGTAGTGGTTATTTTACAGTTGGCTGCCGCTAGAGAGTGTAATTGCACTCTCAAGACACCTTCCCAGAGTGTTAATTAGTGTTGCAACCCTCTAGTTTTGTTCCCTTTTCATCTTATTGATTATACTTACGAAAAAGTAGAAAAGGGGTAGTTTTTAATTGTATCTGCTTTCTTCTAAAATATCGATATATAATTTTTTTTTTTTATATATATATCTGTTTATTGAATAATAATACATTTTGCCATACCATATATACAATACACATAAAAAAATAATAATAATAAAAAATAAAAAATAAAAAAAACAAAATAAAAAATAAATAAATAAAAAATATAAAAATCTATATAACAAAGGCAAAAACTACAATAAACCAAGGAAATGTAATTTAGAGTTAAAATTAAATGAAATACAGAAATTTGTAAAGAAATTAAATAAATTATAAAGTAATAGAAATAAATAGAAAAACATTCATACTTAAATACAATATTTACAATTAGGTAAGAGATCTCCGAGTCCAGCCCTTTCCCCCACGTGTGAAGGACAAAGCGAGACTCTAAGAGATCCCAGCGCTTCTCTCTCAACCGCGTCGCCGGCATTACCAGTCCGGTGGAGACTGAGAGAGGGCACTAAAACCACAAACACTCATGACTTGAGTGGAGAAGCTGGCCATTGCCAGAACTCCAGTGACGTCTTTACAAGAGATCTCGAGGCCACTGCCGTTTCAACCTTCGAGGATGGTTGTAGGGATGACTGGAGCTAGATAAGGATTGTGCTAAAGGGTTAGGATGGTGGATTAGGTTCATGTGAAAATTTGAGAATCGGGATGGAATAATGTCAAGGATATAAGGGATGTATAGGTCATGATGTAGGGTTTTGTTTGTAACGTAATAAGGAGCATTGACTATCATACGGAGAACTTTAGACTGAAAGGATTGGATGCGGTATATAATTAGGCATACGGATGATTCTACGAAATGTGATATTTTTTGTTTTAAAAAAATTCTGATTCGATCCTGCTTTATTTATTTCAATAATAAATAAGAAGATCAAGTTTATATATAGTCCAGTCAATGAATGATCATAGAAGGGAATGGAGGGGACACTTTTTTTGACTTAGGGACATTGTTTGGACTAGTAACGAGGTAAACATAATAAAATCGACAGAGGCGTTCTATACAAAATTAAAACTAATATAATTTTTAATGGATATTTTTCCTAATATAAGTGAAAATCCGAAAAACGTGACCTTCTAGGCGCCCCTCCACATCTGGATATATATATACCTTTTTTTAATACATAACTCCATGCAAGAGGAATTTATTTGATAAATTTTACATAATCCCTGGAAATTCGCATATAACATGTATGAATGTTTGGTTTACATTTCAGTTCTGTTGTAGACAATTTTTAGTTTCTAAAAAATATAATGAAATAATAAAAATAAATGCTAAAAGCTACAATCCTCGTATGAACGTATACTTTTTGAATTTAGATAGTAGTTTTACATGCTACAATTTAAAAGCAACTACTTTCAAATGTCAACAAAAATATTTGGAAAAACTATAAAAACTAAAAGCTGAAATCATACACGTATTTTTTTTTTTAAATTAAAGTCGGTAGTTATGTTAAAATTTTAAAGAAACTACCTTTAAATGTGATCAGATTGAGAATAATTTAATTACAAAAAAAATGAAATAATTACACTTTATGTAAATGTAAATTTAAAAAATGGCGCTCTGATCTTAAGTCGATCACAATTTTTAAAAAATAGAAAGTAACTAATAGAAAGTAAGCCATTTAAATTACGATATTAATTTATAAAATTTAAATATGAGCACTACAAATAATTCATATTAAAAAAAAAAGTTTGCTCAAACAAACCCTTAACAAACAACAGCAATAAATAAAATTGAAACGATAATAATGTAAATAAAAATAACAAAAAATATACCAGATATAGCTATAAATAAACATTTAACAAATGATAATAATTTTACTCAGTTCAAAATTTAGACAGTCAGATATTATTTAGATATGATTTATTCATCTATGGGATTAAGTTTATCGACTCCTTTTTGTATTTTATTAATATTTTTTGTCTTCTGAAAGTGCCCATGTTTATATGTATTTGCGTCAAACAAAGTTATACTATATGAAAAGGCAGTACCGGCCTTAGGGCGGAGCAACCGGGGCAATAACACAGAGGCGCAACCAATGGGAGGGGCGCCTGTTGGGGGCGCCAGCCGATCTTAAGGGCCTTCGCCACTTGTAAGGAATAAAAAAAAATTGCAAAAAAAACGTATTGAAATTATTAATTTTAACCTACCATTTAAGCGATTGTATTGCAGAAATGTTGAATGCAATAAAATTCAAATATTACACAATATAAAACAGCTAATGAAATCAATTTAATTTAAGAAGTGACGTCATTGCCCGATGGTGCTGAATGTTTAAGACTGGTACTGTAAAAAGAAATATATTATTATTCAACTGTAAATAATAAAAAAAAATTGAAAGAAAAGAACTACATATGGTAAACATATACATTACTACGTATAGTATACCGGCAGGAATATTGCAAAGGAGTTTAAATTTGGGTAGCGCTCACGGGAATTTCATTGAATAATGTAGTCGCGTTATTGAGGGATGATGTGTTGGCAATTACGGTGGTAATGTGAGGTCTTCCCGAGGCTAGCCACTCAAGGGCCACGTACCTGAATTATTAAGGCAAGATGATAACCAAGGTTCAATTTGCTACGCCGTCAAAATGGGCCGGCACGAACCGGCAGGAATATATTTTACGAATCTTCCATCAAATAATGCAATTTACAAAACAAGATTCATTGTTTAAGAAAAAAAAAGTTATCATAATATAAATATGTAAACACAAAATAGTTCTTAATTTATTTTCTTCTCTGTTTTTCAACCAATTTTCTTTTTTTTTACTTTAACTTATCTGTTAAACTTATCTCTATATATGTAATACATAGAGTAAGTATCGCAATATGAGTATGTATTGCGATTATGAAAATGTTTGAATCTGAGTTTCAAACTGAAATACAAGTTTTGAGGTCCCCTGAGTCCAAATAATCCAGTCCCGCGAAATGGTGTATGTGTGGGTATGTATGTGAACAGCCTAGCTCAAAAACGAAAAATCGTACAAAACTGAAATAGTATATTTGAAGTTTTGATAATCATTGGATGTTACAGCAACATTTTCGTCCAAATCGGCAAATCTGAAGTGGTATTTTATATAATCAATTTAACACATTTTTACAATTTTCTCAAAAACAGCTCTAACGTTTTGGATTAAACTCTGTATATCAGCAGTTTTTAATGTTATGTAATATTCTCATTGATATTCTCTAATATGGCTTAAATGGTTAATTGTCAATATTAGCTTTCTCTAAAATATCTTTTTTTTTTATTTGAAGCAATAAACCATTTCACACTAATCCTTGATACAAAAATAAAATATAATTATATATAAAATATGAAAGAATTTGATAATTATCTGAAGGAGAAAAAAAGATATCGTAACGGATAATAATTGCAATGGAAGAAACAAAGAAATACGAGCGCAGCCATGCTCACCCGTGCTCGCCTGAAATATTATAACAGGCTTCCATACGTAACATAAGCTTAATATAATACGGACTCCGACAATATTAAGTACATATACATATGCGGTTTTCATATATGCTATCGTTGGTACTATTTAATATTTAATTGTATAGAATACATCCATATAAAATTAAAAATTTGTCTATATAAGGATATTTAAACAAATAAAAATACCAACAGTGAAATGTAAATAAATATAGCATCTATAATTTTTATTTTTACTTAACATTTTCTGAAAATACTTCTTTCTGCTAAAAAGGGGGTAGTAAGTGAAATTCGTGTGATGGGCGCACCAGATTTATTTTGTGTGTTGTTGATAGCTTTTTAAGAGATTTTATGTTATTAGGTGTATGAATAAAGATGTAAGTGTTTTTTTGTTCAAACCCGCCAATCTCCGCAATTCTTTCACCGATTGCTTTGAGTTTTTTGTGAAACCATTGCAAGGAATTATTCAGGAGTGTTTTATACACATTTCATTACCATCCGGCGTTTCGATTACAAATTGCGGCCGAAAAACCTGTGTCACTATAAACAGTAGCGCCCAAACGGCTGTAACGATTTTTATAAAACTCGACTAAATTCTTTTCCCTGAACACCATTTAATTTATGTATATGACATACTTCTCGAAAAGAGTACGAAAAAATAACGTAAATATCTCAAAGGTGTTCAAATGGAATCTGAGCTGTTTTATATTCTACACATAATGTTAAATGGTACACCTGTAACAGGAAATCAAGAAGATAGGAAATAATCTTGTTCCGCATACCTTCATCAGATTTGATTCCCCTAGAACAGTGAACCACATATTAGTGGACTGTATACATTATGCAGTAATAAGGAAGAACCTTAATATGTACGTAACGGTTCAGGAAAGAGAGATATGGAAATCCTGATGGATTTATTGAAGAAGACGGGATTCTACAACAGAGTATATAAGGTCTGAGTGAAGAAAGGATTGTCAATCGTCTTATTGGGTAGAGGTAAATTCAATAAATAAATAAAAGCGTATGTTTTCAGATATAGAGTGAATGAATGTATATGAATAGAAAACACTATGTCGGAAACCTTCAAATTCATATATGTTATCTTCAAACGATTATCAATTTTCAATAACTTTTAATAAAAATTATCAATACAATAAATAAAATAAATTTTCGATAACGATTATCACTGAAAATGGGCAGTATGAACTTTACCCTGGAGTAATTATAAAATACAGACAACTCTTGATACTACGTCACATAGATTTTATCCATTATAAACATTGACTATTTCCCATTGACTATTGTTAGCCCAGTGGTCGAAATTCATAGGCACATAGGCATTAACAATTTGAGGAAAACATATAGTTAAATAAAAAATACAATCAATAAATAAAGAGTAAATCACGATTCAAAAATCCTCATTTATTAATATAATCAAAATTTCAAATTCAATTAAAAATCGAGCTTAAACTACTTAAAATTATTTATAAATAATACGAAATATTTAATTTCCATTTTAATTTATGTGTGCTATTATCAAAATAAATTAAAGTAATGATTAAGCAAGTAAAAGATTTTTTTTTTTTTTTTTTTTTTTTTTTTTTTTTTTTTTTTTTTTATTGGTGATATTTACAACTGTATTACAAGTAAAAATACATAAAAAAAAAAGATAAATTTAAATTAGCAATTTCAACTTAGTTTAAATCAATTTGTAAGCAGAACCTCTCTGTAAACAATGTTCTTTTTGAATGTTCTATTATTGTTTAGTACATAGCCTTATCCACTGCCATTTTAAATATAAACTTCAAAATTTTAAATGAACTTGCTCTACTTGCTGCCACTTATCACAGGCGGATCTACGGGAGGAGGGAGGAAGAGAGAGGCTTTTGGGCTGAAGCCCTCCCTCTAAAATGGTAAAATGTAACCATGTTTTATAGGAAAGAAAATTATCTATTAAAGTATTATTGTGCTTGTAATTACATTTAATAAGACTTCAAGAATCATTTAAACACCATTTCATGTAGGTTGTTAGTATATTTCTTTTTTTCCAAAATAATTATCGTTATATACATGAAAAAAAACCCTTCTTCCCAAAATTAAATCGTGGATCCGCAAGTGACACTTATAATTGTCCATGCGGAATTACTGGACTTCGCAATAATACACAATTTTTTTCCAAAACTTTGACCCTGCGGTTTGATTATTATCATAGCAAATGCAACTATTAATATGGAAGTTTTGTGTCAGAAAATATTTTCGGGCTTATTTTCGGGAAAGTACGTTATACACACAATGTATTATAAAAAAAATTATAAAAGTTTCAAAGGGAAGACGTTAGCCAAGTTTCATTAAAATCGTTGAATCCGCATTGGCGCTACAGTCTAAAGCTAATCACGTTTTTTCGGCAGCCATTTCGAAAGGAGAAGCCTTATGATGATGAAATGTCTGTATAAAAACACTCTAAATATTATTGTGACGTTGTGTCAAAATTTCAAAGAAATCGGTGAAGAACTTTCGGATATTAGCTGTTTTGAAAAAACTATCATTTATATTTTTATTTACGTACTATTTCATATTTTTATTTACGTACTATTTCATATTTTTATTTATTAATAACACTAAAGCTTGTGAATAACTATTAAACAAAAAAATAAGGAAGAATATCGGTTGCGTAATAGGGGAGAAAAAGAGGCTGAACCGTTTTGTGTTTGCCTATATATTTAATGATACTAAGGTAACAAATAAAATTATTATCCTGACCCTTTGACTGGTGTTGTATTTATTAAAGGAGTAAATTATTCTCTAATTACTGCTTTGTAAAACGACGGGTCAAGAATGTCTTCATGTTATTAGATAGTAGAATTGAATTGATCGAATAAACAAAAGGAATATTGGAGGAGATCCCAATGAATCAATTTTCATTGTAATAGGTGGCCGTTTACGGACTATCAATCTGAATAATTACCTCTATTAAAATCTAATTTTATCTAAAATATTTCGAGTTGAGATGAGATGAAACGAAAGACATGTTTTCCATCCGTTCATTTTTCTAGAAGAGTGAATAAAGGAAGGGATAGTAATGAGCATCTTTGAGTGGGATTCGAAAAGTCGGCCAGTTATTAAAAGCTTCAAATTGGGTTCCACTCCGAGCTTAACTCGACTACAGCAACCTTAACGACGGATATTGGAGGGGTCTTCATCGAATTAGCCTCTTCTAACTCTTCTGCTTTCTCAGGATTTTTATCAAGGCTGCTAGGATCCGTACAAGACCAGGTTTTGCTCATAAGGTACCGATGTAAAATACAGAGATAAAAAATAAGAGATGTTCTCCTAAGAATAACTATAGCAGGAAGATATAGGATCAAAATAGTAAAAACCAAGAATGTGCTAGCATCGGTACTTCCAAACCCCAAATGAATATCACATCTAGATAAAATGGAAAGCGTATTGATGACGAAATAGCCCATCTGGCCCATGAATGTTGTACTACAATTTGGATTATCGGTAAAGTGGACTTTAAAGTCTAGAGATCTGTTATTTTTGCATTTTACAAAGGAATTGCATATATAAATATAAATAGAAGTAGATAAGTAACTAAACTCTGGGACAATGTCTCTGGAAAGTAGCAGCAGTCACATAAAAATAAAACGTATTTATAATAAAAAGACTAAAAGATAATGGAAAATGAAAAAATAAAGCATTAGGCTAACTAAAATATTTTCATTAACGGTAAAGAAAAAAATACAATAGGTATAATATACATATCTTTACGAGTATATTACACGGTGCCCAAAAGAAAATGGGGGTAGAGATTAGTAGATATGATAGTAGGGATCTAGAGTAACAAAATATTGCATATAGACGGTGATCCGTTTTCACTCAGAAATACAAAATTTAAAGTTGTATATGTTGTCAAGTGTTAAGGTTTTTGAAAAAAAGTTGATCGGGGAGTGCGACCAAATAAATACTAAATTTTCAAAATAGTATTTTAATTATTACGCCTAAAATACTATTTTGAAAATTGAGTATTTATTTGACCACACCCTCCACCAATTCCTTCTTATATTATATCATGGTCCACTAACTCTACATCGTTAAGTTTTGTGTTGAATTTGAAACGATAGACATAAATTTTTTAATTTAGGCTAATGATTCTTGCAGCAAAGTAAACTAGATATCTAATTTTCTTGAAAAGTAATTAGAACCAGTCTTTGTTGAAACATTTGAGGATTCTCGGCTGACCTGCTGTGCCGTTTATCTTGAATTATGTTCTATGACTTCACACAGGAGGAAGTCGATATGCACTCCTACTGCTTAAACCGCCTCATGTAATACGCTCTGATACGCCATGGTGTATCGCAACGTCGTTTGCTGGAATGTAACCAACTTACTCATCTTACTTACTTTTAATAACGAGATAGTTGGGTTGCAGGCGGGAGACACATAACTTAGAATACCGATAATCACTCCTTTGTAAATTGTAAATTGCTGGATATCTGAGGCCCCCGAAAGCGCCCTCAACACGACTGGGGCTGTTCGAAGATTGGACCGCCCTATATCGAAGATAGTCCAAATGATTGGTAACATTGATTCCATCTCCGAATTGTAAGCTAAGATAAGTGACCACCTCACTTGGACTTATTCTCGCTCCTTAAACAGCAATATTAAGAAAGTGAACATGATTAGTTTTCCCTTCATGAAAATTGTTTGAGATCTTTGAAGCGGCCATTGATCACTACTTTCTCTTATACCATTATCCAACCAAGTTGGTGCACGGTTCTGCTTGTGATTTTCAGCTGGGTCTAGTATAGAAGTAAATAGCAATAAGCTAATAGGTAACTACAACACTCTGACGCAAGACCAACACCAAGACGAATGCGCAATATCAAGACTCGTCTTAGTCTTGCATTTGGGAAACACTATAAGTGATATACCCGTCACATTGAGTTGATTACTGAAAGACAGGCACAGAATAAAATGTTTTACTTGAAATCTAAAAAACAAAAACGAATGGAAACTTACGAGTCTTAACATGCATTCATTTTTAACTTCTCCAATGAATTCAAAGCTTTCCTAAAATGACACATGGAGAATTATGTGGATAATTATAGGATTCTAGTGCTGCTTGATCATAACTTAATGAGTTAATCTGTAATAAACGATAAAGTAATAATATTAATAAGCCTTAATACAAATATGGCTTCGAAGCAATGTCACTGCAGTGATGATAGATAATGCATCGCGCCACCAGAGTGCTCTTGTTTACATTCCATCAATGCGCGGTGTTTGTTTCCTCAACAAACATTGCTGTTCCTGAGCACCTTTTAGGATTGAAAATTTCTAATGGAGAGATTTATGAATTTCAAATGTCAATGTCAGTTTTCAATACAACAATAGTTCATGATAAGTAAATAATCATATCTAGGAATCCATGCTCTTTCGAATTGAATTAAATAGTGTAAACAGTTATGAAGAAGAAGAAAAAAAGGTTCATGGCTAACTTAAAAAAAAAAAAAATTGTTGCAAGCATAACACAACTTTCAATTACCGCTTTATTTAGAGTAAAAATTATTTTATGGCAAAGTTGGGGTATCAAAAAGTTTTGAAGTGCATTTTCGGAGCTAAACCTTTAATCTTGGAGCTGTTGGAGTGTAAAACTCATGAAGACTATTCAAATAACACAAATTCTTCCTAATGTATCGACGGTGAATAATAAAAAACTTTTTGAACCATAAAACTCCAGTCCCTGAGCTACATATTTAATCTATAAATGGGTGGGGATGAAACAAAACTGACGCGAAATAAATCTTACAACATAATATAAATTATTAAACTCTTACTTTATTCTTTTAAAATTTACTAAAATCAAGTTACGACGTTTTCATCGCTTAACATCGATAAGTCAGATGTTTTCACACTAACTGCAAGTGGATATTGTTGTGATTTCAGAGAGGTAAATTCATCAAATTATTCACTATTTTAATTTTCTTAAATGTTACACAATGATGTTTCGGAGTAAACTGACGACATATTCCCAATTATTTAAATATAATATTGGATCTATAGTGATTTAATTACAGTATATGTATTAGAAGAAAGAAAGAAAGAAAAGTAAATTCTATTCCTGGGATATTTACTTGCCTAAGAATAAGTACATTAAAATAGAAAAGTTACAAATTACACGATTTCACTTCTTTTTTCACAGAAGTGTAATAAAATAGTTTTTCAACAATTTCATTACCTAGATCATTCCTTTATTGGATCATATATACTTGTTTTTCAAACTTAAAAATATTTTTTAAAATTTACATAGAATCAGGGAATTAGAACTAGACTCCATAGAAACATTTTGTTTCCGTTGAATAATATTAGTTATAAACAATTATTTTTTATATTTTTCGTCATTCTCCATTACCTTATAGGCATTTATATGTCAGCTATTATTTTTTTCTAAAATGCTCAGCTTTCCATAAATTCATTTTCGACCTTCGTTCAAAGTTTATATTCAGCCTTTTTTTATTGTTGCTAACAATGAGAGACAGCTAATTATTTACGGTAAACTAAATTAAAAGTACATTAGCTGAAAATAATTGGAACATTAAACATTTAAGCCATCTTCGGGGACATCTATGAGAATAAGTCTTATTAGCTGCTATTAAAGAATATTTAATGATACATTAAAATACAATGTTTAATCAAAAGCGTTATAATTATTTTGGAGAAAATTTAAAAAATGAGTGGAAACCGATGATATAAAGGTTCACCTCCAGTTAGCCAATTTTCAGGAAAACGTTGATGCCATGCCTAGCATATAGCTACGAGTATGTTTGACACATAACATCAGTTTAGTACGACTTCTGTTTCGTTTTTGAGCTAGTCTGGTCACATACACACAGATCCACACATAGACATACACACGCAGAGACGCTTTTGTATGACTTAATTATTTGGACTCAGGAAAACTCATACATTCCCTGCGAAATATTCTATGAAATCTTTTCAATAGTAAAACCAAATGCTACGTCCCTGCTCATTTTATAAAATGCAATTTAGCAGCGTAAAAACGATATTTGACAAACAAATAAATATTGAAATAATGAGATTATTTAAATGCTAAAGAGTATTTAAAAGCAAGTATTTGAAGTGGAGGTACCTATACTAGGCACATACCTCTTCCCTCCATGCCCGCTCTAGTTTATTCTATACTCTATTATTACTTATCATTATTATTATAATGAGTTATACTCTATACTCTATTATTATCTATCTATTATCTATATGGTCTCCATGATGCAACGGCAGGCCTCCATTAGCTCCATACCCGATCCTTTTTTTGGTCAGGGGGTGCTTCCCTCCGAATCAATCGGATCCAATGACATACACATATACATATACAAGTATATATATATATATATATATATATATATATATATATATATATATATATATATATATATAAATTTATAAAAGATAAATGTATATAGACTCTAGATATAAAGGGAATATAAGAAACACAGTTTCCTAAAATAGAACAGAGACAGTGAGAAAAATACATAAAATATGATTACAAAAGTTAGCAACAGGCAAAAACTGGTCATGTATGAAATGGATATATTTCCTTGTTGGGGATTTATGACGAGTATCATGTTGAGGTAGAGTTATTCCAAGTTACAGTTTGTTAGGTTCCGCATAAATAAGAAACTTTTGAAACCTACAGGTTTATTTCCCGTTTATTATGTTGTTGAAATACGCCTAGTTGTAAATTATTAAAGTAATTAACACGAAAGGTATAAATTATTAAAGTTGAGAAGAGATATATAATTTAATAGGAAATTTTTAATGAAAATAATTACAAATATTGTTAGTTTTTTTTTTTATTGATATCGATAGGTCAAATAAATTAATGTCCGTTTTTTGTAAACACATAGAACTGTAGTTTTTATTTTATTTATTTCTTCGTTTTTTTTTCTCATTATAATTTATCACAATTTATAATAATAATGAAAAAATGAACATGAAGAAAATATTTTAAAACTGATAGACTTTTTTTTTTTGTCTTCTCCCCTTCCTCGCCGTTAAGGCTATACGAGGCATCGAGAAGCGAACTCGTGACTATTATATAACATTTGTCATAGATCAGGTTGCCGGGGAACGGTGGTGCTGTGCACAAGCCTTAGCCCATTCGGCTACCCTGCCCACTGAATTGATACAGACTCGTAAGGAGCTGGTTAAGAGATTTCCTGGGTTATTATTATTTTTTTCATTTCAAGCGAGTGGTAGGTGC